ATGTGCGCTCTCTCACCGCACTGCGATGTAGGCTTAAGCTAATTTCAGAGAGGAAGCATCAGCCGCGCACCATTTTGGGTATTCTGCCACTGTTTGTGTGCCTGTGTTAAGTTGCCAAATTGTGCTGAACATGGTTTGAAACCTCTGAGGGTGGGAAAGCAGCCTAGAAAGCGTTTGGCTGCTTCAGTGGTGCTAATCACGAGTGCTGTTTGTTTTCTGCTAATATGGATCGTTTCCTCCATGGTGCCCGAGGCTCTGTAACCTGGTAACTCCTTCCTCTGCTGGCCTGGGCCTGCCTGCCATTTAGCAATAATTATTTCTGACTCGTAGCTCATTGGAACAAGTGGAAAGTGCAGATTGTAAACTTTAAATCCAGACCGCATTAGTGTTTGTCTGTAGAAGAGGAGATATTTTATTACAATTATGTTAAAATCCAGCCAAGACCAACTTTTGTTCACATGGTCAGTGCTAGTCTTTGATATTTGTCTGATATCTCATAAATTAGAAAAGACAAAGTGGTGCCAAATGTAAAAAATGCTATCAGTAATTATAAATATAATGGTTTATCATAGTGTGTTGCAATTACGTACAGACTATATCCATGATACGTTTAGGAAAGCATATTGATTTTTCACGATAACGATAAATATCGTCATATTGCCCGGCTCTAGTCATTATCTAGATTCCTGCTGACCTGAGAAGGTCAAGGTGGTTGACTAGCTGGACATTCAGCTGGACTGGGTGAAAACATACTCTATGTTGGTCAACTGATTAAGCTGGTTTAGCTGGTAGACCAATTTGTTTACACTGGTTATACTGTTCCACCAGTTTGGTTAACCTGGTCCTACTTGTAGACCAGCTTAGTTAATCTGGTCATGACTGTCACTCTTAAACAAAATATGGTTCTTCAAGGGTTCTTTAGTAAAAAAATAGTTCTGTATAAAACCATGAACACTCAAAGAACGCTTTGCATGACTAAAGGGTTCTGTGCATCATAAAAGGTTCTTTAAATTGATGGAGAATGTGTTGTAGATGGTTCTATATGCCACCAAAAAGGTTCTGCTATTGTTACAAACTCATAACGATAGCAGAACCTTTTGGTACTATATAGAACCCTTTTCAAAAACTCAAAAAACCTTTTGCATGGTTAAAACATTTTTGCATGATATTACAATCGGGGATCATAACACTCTGTCTAATAAATAAAATCCCCCTTGTACATTAATTTTGAAGGCTCTTTCAGCACTTTGGTAAACCAGCCTGTTAAAGCTGGTCGTGTTGGTTGTCCAGCTTGGTCAACCAGGTTACACTGGTAGATCAGCTAAACTGTCAAACTCAAATGAAAACATGCCTTATTCTGATCAACCAGCTTAACCAGCTTGACCTGACCAAGCAGATGTTTAATATAATTATATTTAAATCATTTGTAACTTGTAAGGGTTAATTGCTTTTCCTGCTGTACCTGTTGGATGAAGGTTAGCTCTCCTGAAGAGTGTCTGCAGGAGTTTATGGACCTGGATGTCTCTTTGGGGCTGTGTATGAGATGTGTGTCCTGCTGACTTGCAGGCTTAGGGGGTGGAGGGTGTAGAGCTCAGGTTGTCTTGGTTGAAGAGATGTTACAAACCCATCAGCAGAGTGCAGAGGCAGAATTGTATCTCAGCAGTGGTGAATTTGAGATTTTATATAGGCAGACCTGCAGTTCCTCTTCAGGGGGCAAAAAAATACTTCAAATTCATAGATGTTCATAACAGGGTAGGAGGTTAATTGTAAGAGTTATTGTATACTTGATTTTAAACACAGTGTATGTGTGTACACTGCGGCTAACTCTTTGGTGTCTGACTCGTCTCATCTTAGTCTTCTCAGAATTATGTTTATAAAGAAAAATGTAAAATCTCATGATTTTCTTATGTACAAGAGGGGGCATACACTCAAAACATACACTCAAAAAGAGAAAAAACACAAAACAGCCAACACATCAGGAATATTACGATCAGGAACATTACATCATATTCTCCATCAATCTATTCTCCATCAAACTATTTCACCATGCAAAAACCCTTTAATCATAAAGGGTTCTGTGAGTGTTCATATATATGGTTCTATATATAAAACCATTGTCTTTACTAAAGAACCCTTGAAAAACTATTTTTTTTTTTAAGTGTGATTGATCAGCTAAACCATCAAACTCAAACAAAAACACACCATATGGGGGTCGACTGGCTTACCTAGCTTTAGCTGGCCAAACTTTTTTTTTGTTGTAGACCAGCTTGGTTCCTCTGGTCAACCAGTTTTGTCAGTCTGGTCATGATCGTAGGCTAGTTTGATTGACCTGATCATGCAAATGGAAATGCATCAGAGATGCGGATACCTGTTTGTACAGAATGGAAATCAAATATAAATACAGTTCATTATGTACATACATACATATGCACGTCAGACATATTATAATCGGGGGTTGTAACACTCTATCTAATAAGTAAAGTGTACATTCTTCACCTGTACATTCTTTTTGAAGGCTCTTTCACCACACTGCAGTCCAGATCAGAGGAAGTGGAAACACTTTTTAAATGTTGTTTATGACGCATTGTTTTAAGTGAAGCATTATTTAGAAATGCATCTTACTATACTGCACATTTTTGCATTCTTTTCCTTGAACTTAAAACTGTTATATTGCCCCACATCATGGCATCAGTCTCCCAAAATATCTGCATTTTCTGCTTCCCACTATCTAAGTAATGCCAAACAGATGCAGAAGTCTGGACTCCAGTCCATTGTTCAGTCTGGGGGGCCCAGCTTTTCTCATTTGTCTCCAAAACATCTTACAATAAAGTGTTTGATGTTAATCTCCACTTCAGGATCACAGTGGTGGTGATAGGAACCAGACGTCCACCTCTAAAAGCTCCCTCACAGTGATTACATAGAATGGTTATGAATATACTGCCTGACGTCTGAGACACTGTTTATGTTAGTTTAGTGATGAGGTTTTGGTCTAAAACATAATCAATTTATTTGAATCCATTTAGGGTGGAGGAATACATGTAGGGTGTTGTGAGGCAAAATAGTCCTCAAAGAAAATGTATTATTTCAGATTTTCTATTGTTTTACCATCAACAATATTCCATATAAAACTAAGAAGAAACGTGTAGGTTCACTGGTGGGTTTTAGATAGTAAAAAAAATGTCTGTATTTGTGTTGTAGTCATGGAGACCCCTGGTTCTTATCACCACCACAATAAAGAAATCTGAACCATTTCAGACCAAACCACTCTGAATCACTCATTTTTTACATCTCAAATACTCAGCTATGCGGAAACTTTGAAAAATTGGTGGAATTCCCCTTTAAGGTAACTACCTCAAAAACATTTCTCACTGCTGTAGGGGGTGGATGTTCTTTTTGGATGGCTTGATGGGCGATTTTTGTTGACAGAGAAACTGTGACGATTGCTTAGAAGGAGCCAATCAGGTCATCCCTGACCCTCTGTGGCCCCTCCTCTTCTTCTCAGGCTGAGTTTCCTCTCACATGCAGGTTCTGAAACGTGCCTGTGTTCAGTTTAAACAGACAATGGAGGCACACAGAGTTGTGGTTTGATGGAGGTGAAAGACCAGCTGCATTAAACTACTGAGCAGCTGTAAATCGCCCACAAACAGCTGTCACATACAATAAGAGCTATGAACTTAATCACCTAGGGAAGGCCTCTGCCTTTATACTGTTCTATGCAAGCAATTAGCATGAAAGTACTTCGCTCTGAGTGTGTCACGAGGTCTAAAGCGCGGCGTGTTATTCTAAACCTAATAGCGGTGTTGGGGAGAGAGAGTGGAGGGCTTGTGTTGTGATGGTAATAAAGCAGATTAATGGAGTAGTCCGTCACAAAGCCTGTCGTTCCTCCTCAAATGCTGCCTGCAATTAAAGAGAAAATGAAACAGTCTAAAAACAAGTCATAGATTTGCATGCTGGTTGACAGTACTGCTGCTCAATATATCATTAATCAGTATTTTGCAGCACCCACAGTTTTATTGGTTGAAAACTGATATGGTTGCTTTACTCTAGAATGCTGGAGCTACAGAAATTACCAATATTGGCAAAAGAAATGACTGCATTACCATAACATTCCAATTACATGCAAGTTCATCATTTTTCAGAGGATATTTCTGAGGAAATGATAAACCAGCTTCTAAGCCTGAAGTGGACGCTGAAGGTGTGTCTGCAGATTTCTTTGAGAAACTGAAAGTGAGTTTCCTGAAAAGAATGGAAGCTGTAATAAAGACTAGAAAAAGAATATTATATTTAGTTGTTGAGGCTTCTGTGTGGTTTTCAATCCAATATACATTTTCTGCTTTTTTCCTGACTTTGAAAATTGAATAACTTTCTCTTAATGTTTGTTTTGACTGGAAGTATGATATATAAACATTAATAAAATGTGAAAATTGGAACTAAATTTACCTGAATTAGCGTTACAGAGAAATAACATTTATTTCTGTAGGGACACAAACGCAGTAAAAACAATAAAACGCAGATCTTTTAGTGTCAAATCTAAACATCTGTCCAAAGCTTATGTATACACTTTATAGAACTATGAACATTCAAGAACCATTTGCATACTTAAAGGGTTCTTTGCATGGTGGAATTCTCCATCAATCTGAAGAAAAAGGGTTCTGTACCACACCAAAAAGGTTCTTCTGTCATTACAAGCTTGACATCGTAACAATAGCAGAATACTTTTTGGTGCTACATAGAACTCCTTTCAAAAAAGTTCTGTTTAGAGCACACTGAAGAATGATTTCACCATGCAAAGAACCCTTTAAGCATACAGATGGTTCTATATAGAACCATTTGTCTTTATTAAAGAAACCTTGAGGAACTATCTTTTAAGAGCCGTGGTTTTCAGCAAATGTCTGCCCATGCTGATATGATTCCGATATTATTGTGTGTTCCCTAAACAGTACACACATTTTGTCCCATATCTGTTGACATCTGACAGCGGTTCCTGTTCTGATTTGCAGATGCACAGAGAGCCATCCACGCTCCTTCACGGATTACAGACAAAGTGCTGGAGATGTTCAGGAGCAAAAGTGAGTTTACCTTCATGGCCTCCATCCAGCAGAAAGCGTCCACCTCTGGAGTCCTTTTCTCCATCCATGAGGCTGAGCACAGGTAGATATATCTCCTTTTGTTTCCTTTTTATTTCATTGTACCTTAATGGCTGCACAAGCCTGTTGGAATTATCTTATTCATATCTGAGTGGATCAAACCAGAAAAAAGCAGTTTTTGAAGCCTAATTTGGTGCACATGATAGCTCAGTAATCAGATTTCTCAGTGCATGTAAACTCTTACTCTGATTTCTTTCGCATTTCTCAGTCTACACGTGCCACATCAGTCGACGGTAGCGGAAATAAGCAGGCAGCATTGCTGCGAGACGCAGCAAAACACTTTTGAAGCAATGCTGAAACCAACTACATGCTTGACGAAATGAAGGATATAAATATTCTTTATCATCTGCATGATGTATATTCATATTTTTAGGTGAAGTGGCATGATGTTTAAAAAAAAAAAACGTGGCATAAAGTTTTACGTCATGTTTATGTCACTTCTTATTCTGTGAGTTTATTGGCCGTTTGCAAAGCACAAATTCAGTTACTGCCTGACTCATCTAGACCCAGAGTTTCCCCATTATCTGATTACTCAATCGCATGTAAACGCATTGATCAGATTACTGACAAAATCTGATCTTCTGCAGTTAGCGAATTATTAAGTGCATGTAAACATACTCAGTGCTTCAAAATGTAAGTTCTGTTTTGATTGGATTGTTTGTGATGTCTCAAAAAGCAAGATGTTTACATGCACTATATGGCCAAAAATACGGAGACACCTGACCGGCACACCTATGTGCTTGTTGGACGTTCCATTCCGAAACTATGGGCCTTCAACTGCTGCCACAAAATTGGATACATCTAATTGTGTAAAATGTCTTTAAATGCTGTAGCATTAACATTACCCTTCGCTGGAACTAAGGGGCCCAAACCCTGAAAAACAGCCCCAGCCCATTATCCCTCCTCTGCCAAACATTACAGTTGGCATGATTCGTTCCAGTAGGTAGCGTTCTTCTGGCATCCACCAAACCCAGATTCATCCATCAGACTGCCACATGGTGAAGCATGATTCGTCACTCCAGAGAACATGTTTCCACTGCTCCAGAGTCCAGTGGCGGCATGCTTTACACCACTCCAGCCGACGCTTGGCATCATACATAGTGATCTTAGGCTTGTGTGCAGCTGCTCAGCCATCAAAGCCAAGATAAAGAAAGACAAGCTGACTTCAGCCTCGTAAAAAATCAAAAATTGAGGGACATTTTACAAGAAACTGTTGAACTTTTGAGGATGCAGGAAAAGTAGCTATAGTGGAGCTAAAGCTTAAACCAGAGCAAAGTAAGTCGTTTATAATAATTTTTTTATCCTATACTAGGACATTAGCACACACTGAGACATATTTACAGCCAAGATGGTAAAACATTACTTCAATAAAATGGACATGACTCCCAGGCTCTCAGGTTGTGGCTCTCAGGGTGGTTAGATTTTTTTTGTTTAAACAGGACAAAATGGCTCTTAACATTTGGGTTGCCAACCACTGTTGTAAGGGATAAAGAGAGGTTATACAAAAATGAGATGACTCTTTTTGGTGTATAAAGTCATACAAATGTCATAACTGGGGGAAAAAAAGCATAATTTAGAGCCTTTTAAATCTAAACCATGTGAGAATCGTTGTTGTCCAGTACAGAACCATGAACACAGAGGAAAACTACAGCTTAATTACAAAGGTTTATATTTTGAAAGGATAATGTCTGGGCAGAAAAGCAGTAGAGAAAAGAAATATAACTGGCTGATGAACCCCTATTGCCTTGTATTCTGAACTGGATTTGGCAAAGTGCCTTTCTGGCATCTCATGTATTCATTACATAAATAGTGTTAGCTTGAGCTGTTTTTGAGTTCTCAGTGGAAGCTTATAATAAATTTGAATGTTTTTCCTCTTTGAAATCTTCAGTCTACACATGATGGGCTGTTTGATTACTCAAGCCTTCAAGAATGTTGTGAGGAAAAGGAAAAAGCACTGGAATATGGAGGTAACTGTAGGGAATTTGCTGAAAAGAGTCTCCTTGCAGTGTTCTTGTGCTAAGTTATGACAAAATTGGTAAAACAGCTTGAAGAACACACTATAATGAAGGTGTGAGCTGAATAGCATTACTGACTGCACTGTTGCTTTTACATCACTAATGTTACTAACCATGAATGAAAGTCAATAGTCACCAAATAGCATTATTCAAATAACCTCATGCCACCTGAAATTCATTGTCAGCATGTAAGGTTGTGCTGTTTGTTAAAGAACACCTACACGCCTGAATGTAGTTAGAGGTGCTTTAGGTCTTGTACATTATGAAAAAGGCTAATGAAATAGTACAGTATATGTTTCTTTGTTTTAAAATGATATTGATGTTTTTTTTGTGGAATATGTGCTTCTACAGTAAGATTACCTAGTATTGGCTGTAAGAGGGCATCGAATGAGACAGCAAATTTACTTTAGAAGCTCTAATATACTGTTAATGCAGTCATGCTATTATTTCCATGAAGACCTGACAGAAAGTGTATGTAATGATCTAACACTTTTGGGACTGTTTTACTGCTCTGCTGTAAACACATCTAAACACACAGGGGTGTTGCATATTGGGTTTATTGTTATATTGATGAATTAGACTTGAAGTGCTATAAGATGATGGAAAAAGATCACTAACAAATAATCATTTTCATGAAAGTAGCATAAAATGCTATTCCGGGGAATAATGCACAATCTGCCCAGGTTGCTAAGACTGAGCATGTCACTGATGAGCGATGCGGTGCAGGTGAGCAGAGGAAACATTGTCTTTGTAATCACACTGTCTTAAAAACTGAAAACAGATTTTTGGAGGGGTTGTTTTACAACCCCATTTCCAAAAAGTTGGGATGCTGTGCAAAATAAAAATTGCCATTGTGTTACAGTCGATCAAAGGTTAGACTGTTCTCTAATTCTTTGCTCAAGCGTTCAGGTTTTTAGCAATGAGCTAGTGTTATTGTGAATGTATTTTGGATTTGAAGCTCCAGATATTCAAGATATGTGGGGGCTCTGTAAAAGAGAGATCTGATACTTTGACAGAGTAGATGATGATAATTTCCAAAGCCAAATATAAATGTCCGTTCAAGTTAAATGAAGAAAGTTGTCCTTGTCAGCAGTGGTGTGCAAACCGTTATCAGGGGTAAGATATAAATCACAAAAAAATAAACCCTATTTCCAAAAAAGTTGGGATGCTGTACAAAATGTAAATAAAAGAAAAATGCAATGATGTGCACATCATTTTAACCACGTTTCACTGAAAATAGTATGCAGACAACATATCAAAAGTTGAAACTGAGAAATTTCATTGTTTTTTGAAAAATATGTCAATTTTGAATTTGAAGCCAACAACGCGTTCCAAAAAAGTTAGGACGGGGGCAACAAAAGGCTGGTAAAGTTGTGTAATGCTATAAAAAAAAAAACACCTTGTGGTTAATTGGCAACAGGTCAGTAACATGATTGGGTGTAAAAGCATCCCAGAGAGGCTGAGTCTTTCAGAAGTAAAGATGAGGAGGAATTCACCACTCTGTGAAAGACTGCTTGGACAAATAGTGCAGCAATTCAAGAATAAAGTTTCTCAACATAAAATTGCAAAGAACTTTTGCTTTTCATCATCTACGGTACGTAATGACATTAAAAGATTCAGAGAATCTGGAGAAATCTCTGTATGTAAGTGGGACAAGACAAAAAACCAGTATTTGCTGGCCATAATCTTTGGGCGCTCAGTCAGCACTACATTAAAAACAGACATGATTCTGAAGAAGAAATAACTGCATGGGCTCAGAAACACTTCTGAAGACCACTGTCTGTGAAGACAATTCATCGCTGCATCCATAGATGCAAGTTAAAATTCTAAAACACAAAGAAGAAACCATATATAAACCTGTTAATGTGTGTGTAATATTGCTATTGTTTTATTTTTATTGGAAAAAAATATGCACTTATAGTGGTAATGTGCCCAACATTGTGGTTAGTGTGCTGCCATTGTGGTGCTGCGTAGGCCTCACATAGCCTGCTGTAATATCATAAAAAATTACCACAAAAAAGGTAGCCAGGTAGGAGCCCACCAAATATTTGTGCCCAGGGGCCTATAACTTGATGATCCGCGCGTGGAGAGCAGCTAGCTATTAAACAAGTGATTTGTTATTCAAATTTGCTGACCATAAATCAGTTTTTGTGTGATGTGTAGGCAGACTGTCTCACTCTGTTTAGATGTGCTGCTCCATTGAAATTATATTAAATTGTACTGACTCCACACACCCCGTCTCGTCTCCAGGCTTTTTATTTTATTGTTTGGTTTTAAAACATTGGGTTATAAAAAGGTACATATACATACTTTTCACCTGGAAAAAGTTATTTAAGGCTCACAATTGGACCTTAAACCTACTGTTGTACCTTTTGAGGGAATATTTACATTGTTTGTACCTTGATGAACGAAAAATCTACCTGCACAGAGCCTTTATTTCTAACAGTGTAGTATGTCTAGAAGACTAGCGTGGTACAAACAGTTGGTTATGTACTGGCTGTATGAACGAAAAAATAATGTTTTCATGCTAACATCACTTTTTATTTAAAAAAAAAAATGGTTGGGACATTTGTTTTTCCAGATCTGGGCCCTTTTAAGAGATGTAAGCTTTGCTGAGGTTCTGGGTTCTGTAGTTTGGAAAGTCAGACAATGCAGTGTTCCACTGTCAGGGTTCTTACCTTTTAGATTTATTTAGAAACTCATGATTGAGCTAAAGTTAGACACTGATGTGTTCAGTCTGGCACCATCAGAGTTATTTTAAAAGCTCTTTTGATGTCAGTTCGGATTCCAGCAGCTGCTCGTGCATCAGAAGCGTTCGGCATGCGAGTAGCTTTGTTTGGGCCTGGAGGTATTATCAAGGAGAACACTGAGACATCGCTGAGAACACTTCCCAATGAACAGCCTAAAGAAACATGAAAAACATTGATTTTCTCCTGCACTTCTGGGAGGGAAAAGCCTTCACTTGTGTCAAGTGGCTGTGCACTATGAC